ATCGCGGGTGCATCGTCGTCTACTTTGAACCACGTTCGATTAAGCCCCGCCGGTGCGCGCGCGCGCACGTACTCCATCAGATTTTTCACGCGGTCTGATTGGCCGCTGTTGCACGGGGCCGTTCGTCAAAGCGACCGTGTCGTTGACAAACTCACCCGATATATGTATGCCGACCACCCCTGGCCGTGGTACACCCTCGATTTTATTGTTTCCCTAATTCCCTAGCTCGGGTATTTTTAAACCCGTCTTTCCATCCCCCCCCCCCGGCGATGATTCGAAATAAACACATTAAAATCCACCGACCCGTTCTTAACTTCGAGTCTTTTTTCCTTTTTTCGACATCGATTTTTCGTTAAAATAAATTCCACCGGGGAAGAGAGACACGTCACATTTTGCTCAATATCTGCCGCGAATTAAGCTCCGAATTAAAATAACGTTTAGATGAGTTCATTGAATTTTGCAGTCTGCCCGGTTGAATTTTTCCGCTCCGCCGACGCACTCCTCTCTTCCCCTCCCCCCCCCCGGCGGTGTCGCCCCCTCGCTCTCGTAAAGCGCAAAGTGCAAATGTACACGCCGTCTGAATTATTTCCCGAGGAGCCTCCGCGTCGCGACGTTAATGCTTTATCGCGATGCATCGCGGCGGCAACGCGGATCGCGGGGATAGTTTGACGTCCCCGCGCTTGTTTGACGCGGCCCCGAATTTTCGTCGCAAGACGCGTCGCGTCGGAATATTTCCCGGCGCGAGATAAACTTTTCAGCAAGATGTCCCACACCGCGCGGGACGACATTCGGACGAAGGAGCTGACGCAACGCACTCGCGCGCGGCTAATAGACGTCGATCGAATTTCGAAAATTTTTAAGAATATCGGCGACCACGCACGTTAAACTGCAGTCGCTAATGAGACGAGAAATGGAATTAGACGGGGATTATTTAATTCTTCGAGCTAATTATTACTTTAAACGCCAATTTGAAGCGTCGTCGATTTCTTCTTCCCCGGTAATTTTTTTCGGGAGATTTAAGAATGGCAGGATCGCGCGGCGACCGAGTTTTATTTGCATATCGCACCGAAATCGATTCTCAATAATATGCAATAATTTGGCAGAATCGACAACACGAGCAGTCATTTCCCCTCCTTCTCTCTCTCTCTCTTTCTCTCTGTCTCTTTTATTATAATTTGTTGGCAATTTCCGAACGTATTCACAACCCGTGTTCTCCAAACATATGATCTTCGATTGAAGGGCCAAAGTGAAATTACGCGCGGATACAACGGCAGATATGAATACTGTACGATTGGCGAGATAATTCGATCACATTTTATTAGACACATCAGTAATTTGCTGCCAATTTGGCTACTCCATTCTTAACCGCAAATTGATGGATAAGAGAATACAAATGGTCGAACTAATGAATCTTACAAATATTTACAGAACAATTTTTCCTTCACATTCTTCAATTTCAATACCCATTAAATACAGAAAAAGGTAATTGAAGCATTAATTGCTCAGTACAAAAATTAAAGTGAGTAAATAAATGTCTTAGACGCGATTGAAAGAGCTGCCCTTTATCCGATATATCCAAAGTAACTCCAATATCAATTAAAAATTTCGAATGTTGAAATAAAGGGGAGGAAAAATCCGCGCCCCCTTTCGAACTCTGTGATTCCACGGCCCCGCCCTCCAAATTTTCGCGACAGATTCGTACAGAAATCGTAACGGACTTGTAATCGTTTCATATAAATAAATCGCCTCGATTATCGGAAAAGGCGCACAAAGTGCCTCGTGGCTCTTACGAGTCGATCACCGACGTGACTCGTGATCTCTATTTCTCTCCCCTCCCCCCCTCTCTCTCTCTCTCTCTCTCTCTCTCTCTCTCTCTCTTCCTTCTCCATCTCTTTCTCTTTGTTTTCCGCTCCCAAAGCTCCGGGCAATAATGAACGCGTCAATTTTCTATCTCGACCCATCCGCTCGCCCTTACTCTGCTCTTGCCCTCCCTCTCGTCCCCCCTGTCCCTCCCGCGACGCGAAGCTGTCCCTATTTTCCCGTGCAATTTTTTTCTTCCGACTCCTTTCACCCGTTATCGGCCGCTTGCTAATGGCACGCGATTGCCTTTCGCGTATATCCGGAACGGCGCTTCGCGCGCGTCCGACCGGCGGGGCCTGCGGATTGCGCCCATATCCGCGACCTTTGCCCTCCGCGATCGTGTCGGCGACACGCGCGAGCCCCATCCTGACGTTTCATTTCTCGCGACGCGGATCGACATTCGCTCCCTTCGCCCCCTCTCCCCGAACCCTCCCCCCGTCCCCCGCGACCGCGAACGTTCGTTCGACCGACGCCACGTCGCGAAATTAGCCCTTCACGTGCGGCAGCAAAGGAAGGAAATTTTTTGCGCGTTTCTCTTATTTCCCCTCCTCTCCCCCCACCGCGACCTTTCTATTTTCCATTAATTTCCGTACAGCTTCCGTATCCGAGAGCACCTAAACCTCGCTCTCGCTCCCTGACCGGGGAGGGGGTTTTTTTTAAAATAAATATCAGATTTATTATCTCTGAGCCGGAAAAGAGAGGAGGCGCGTGAAACGCGCGCGCGTACGTGCGTGTCGTCGCGAGCGAGACCGCCCGCCCTCCCGCGAAGGGGTTGAATCTTTCCGAATCATCTCGCAGGGTTTTAAAAATTCGATGAAAGGCTCGGGCGAGCACAAATGGATCTTAAATATAACATCCCTCCAACTCGACGTATCCTATCGATATCCCATCGGGGGGTAAAATGGATGCGAGATAGAGCGGCGGGGCCGTCTCGCTCTGTCTCTCTGTACTTTCCTTCCTTTTCTCTCGTTTTTTTTTTAAATTTACATAATTGAAAAGGAGGAGCGGAGGGGGGGCGGACGCGACGCGCAGCGCGAAAAGTCGCGAGACGATCATTTCCAATTTCGAACTAATTTTACGGTCAAATTGAAAACGACGCAGTCGTTGTTATTATTATAACCGAGAACACCGCCTATCGATCGGCAAGGGCCATTAAACTCGAAACGACAAAATATAGTTATTTCATAGATGAATGGAGGACTATTACGTTCGAATGGCTATTAACAATTTGGTGCGGCCTGGTGATCAATTATTATGTATTCATTTCTGTGTGTACGAACGCGCGTGTGTGAGTTTGCGCGTGCGCGCGCGCGTGTGTGTGTGTGTATGTGTATGTGTGTGCGTGCGTGTGTGTGTGCAACTGGGTAAAAACGCACGTGTATTGTAATTTAGGACCGGCGGCACTTTCTGTTCCCCCCCTCGTGCCTTAAACGCCAAGTCGACGGTTCTTCCGTCGTACTTACGAAATTGATAGAGACCGTCGGCTCTTAATTCCATTGTAACGCACGCCCGCTCGAGCGGCGGAAGTAGAGCCGAGAAGCGCGTGAATAAAAGTCGCCTGTCGCCGATATCGGGGCTATATTTGCGCGCGTCGTCGAGGGCCAACCGGTTGAATAACCCAGATCTGCTTAATTCCGACGGTGATATGCGGCGATGTCGCGCGGACCGCGTCGACGATTTTTCGCCTCTCTCGCGCGCGCGCGCACACATTTAAATACCACTCGCGCGCGGTCGTTGACGGGTGAAAATTTGATTCGCGACCGACTAATCAAGTCGCTTACTCGGCACACACCGACGTCATTCAGATCACATTAAAACGTCATGATGACACACGTCTATATATATATATATATACATATACATATATATATACACCTCTCTCATCCAGCAACAATGAAACAACATCTACTATTCCGTTCTCATACAGAAAGACAAACACGAAACTCGCTCTACGGACTCTCTTCCCTTCCGCTCCCCCGCTCCCCTCCTCCTCCGCTGCCCCGCGACCGCTCAGGTATTCTCGCGGAATCGAATTTCCGGCGAACGCCGGCGTCCCCGGGTCCACGAATTCGCGGATCCCGGGACCCTCGAGAATCGCAAATCCGCGGGTCCGCGGCTCCTCCGTACCAGGGGGGTAGGGGACTCTCTCGGAGAAGCCGAAGGTCGAAGCTTGTTCTACGATGGACCGCGAGAAACCGGCCAGCGACAGTCGATCGTTCTTCTCGTATTTGACTGCGATCGGTCGATTTCTCGCGTTGCGCCTCGGCGTCTCGCGTCGATTGCGGAATAAGCTTGAAGGACCGTCTACATTGGAAGTAAGAAAACCTAATCTCCACTTATTCAGTGCAAAAGCTGAAGTACAGGCAAATTTTTTAAAATATTTATAGCACTGGTCGAGCTGCGCTCTAATTCGCCGAGAGTAAGCGCGTCAGAGCTGAAGTAGGAGTAAGAAGTGGAAATGATTCATCTCTTTACTCCTACTCTTACTTCTTACGCCAGGCTTACCTCATCTATTGTAGACGATCCTAAAGCCCGCATCAGACTACAGATTTTGATTGGATTGAAATTTGACCAATCACAGTAGAGTTCACTAATCTCAAGTTTCGTAACTTTTACTCTAATTCACATTTCAATCCAATCTCAATCTCAATGCGTAGTCTGGTACGGGTTTTAAGAGAAGGAATCCGCGGATTCTCGCGTCAGCGGGGCGTCACAACGCATCCCCTTCTCGTCCCTCCCATCCATCTCTACCCAACCACCCCCCCCCCCCATACGAAAGAGAGAATGCGCATCTTTACGATACACTTGCATCCGCCCCCCTGCCCTTTTCGTACCCCCCTTAGTGATATGTATGATTTATTACCAGCCAGCCCAGTAGCTCTAAGTTTGAAATTCGTGTATGCAACTCAGTTCCTTCCTATAATGACTTGTGTACATGCTACGTTTACGTACCTATTACCCTATTAATGTATATCTGTCTTGGACGCGAAAACGAGGCGGGAGAAAAGATGACAACGACCTGTCAAAAAAAAAGAAAGAAAGAAAGAGGAAAAGGAAAAAAAAAGACAAAAGAGAGAAAGGTCGTGCGACACCCAGCCACGTTCCTACTGACTAACATCGGTCTTTTTTTCTGCTTTCAGCTGCACAGATTCCACAACGCGGAAGTAAGTACGATTAAATTACGTTTGGAAAACCGCAACTGCCCTGCCTGCCCCAGCCCGTCCTCCCGCCGATTCGCCCCGCACCGCTTCCCGTCCCCCTCCCCTCGCACTTTTCAACCCCGTAATTGCGATTATCGTCGTTTAGACCGTTTAGGGGCGTGGAAGCGAGGATGCGGAGCCACGCGGAAAATGTCACGGCACGCCGGGCCCTTCTGCTACGCGGGTGGAGGAGAAAGCGCGAATTGAAGGACTCGATTGAACGGTCGGCGCGACGCGAGCTCCTTCTCTTCCGCACCGGGACTTGGTTCGCGAATCGCTTCGAACTGTCCCGATCATAGACGTGATGTATCTAGACCGAGCTTTGAGGGTAGAGGTTCACGTAGAAAAGGATAAACTCTGTCTTGTGCTATTTCGTTCTCTCGCGGTCGCATGCAAACGAGAGAGAACGAAATGGCACAAAACAGAGACCCTGTAATCAGAGACTGGCCATAAGAATTTGTCAAATTCCCGCGAGTGAGTGAGAGAGAGAGAGAGAAACATATCTCGATCTTCTACGATCGTAGAATCGTAATAGAGTTCGTCAGAAGAAATTCTACGATCGTAGAAGAGTGAGTTAGCCTATGTTTCTCTCTCACTCGCGGGAATTTGACGAACTCTATTACGA